CATAGGAACAAAAAGTTCTTTTGTTACCGCTGCTTGCATGGTTGTACTAACAATGAAACATTACAAAATCATTTACAGTACTGTAGTGATGTGCAAAGAATAACAATGCCATCTAAAAAAGATAGTGTGTTACAGTTTGTCCATCATAATCACAAACTAAAAATTCCTTTCGTTATATATGCTGATTTTGAGTGTTTACTTCAACCTGTACTTGGCGTAGAAAATAATCCTAATCAATCGAGTACAAGAAAAGTTCAAAATCATGTTCCGTGTGGAGTAGCGTATAAGGTAGTTTGTTGTACTGATTCTAGATTATCTAAACCAATTAAATTATATCGTGGTAAAAATCCAGCTATCTACCTTCTCAAGCAGTTGATTAATGAAGTTGATAATATTACTTATCGTTTGGAAAAAGTAACGCCAATGTTAAAATTAACACCTCAACAAGAATCCGATCACGAGCAAGCAGAAATTTGTCATATTTGTGAAAAAGCTTTTGATACTGACAAAAAAGTACATGACCATTGTCATTTGACTGGACAGTATCGTGGAGCGGCTCATAATCAGTGTAATTTAAAATTTCATGCTCCAGATTTTATTCCGGTTATTCTTCACAATTTTCGAGGATATTATAGTAGAAGCTTTTGGTGATCCTGATATAAAATCTCGTCTAAAACTCGATAACGTCATCAAATGCATCCCAAATAATTTTGAAAAGTACATGTCAGTTACGCTAGGTAAATTGCGTTTTATTGACAGCCTGCAGTTTATGGCAGCCTCGTTAGATGAGTTAGTGAAAGGTTGTAGTAAATTTGATAACATAAGAGACTGTTTTGGAGATAAATTTAATCTACTAGCTAAAAAAGGAGTCTTTCCATACGAATACCTCGACGACTGGAGTAAATTTGATGAAACATCTTTACCTGGCAAAGACAAATTTTACTCACAACTTAAAAACGAAAATATAACCGATGACGAGTACAGGTATGCACAAGATATCTGGAAAGAGTTTGATTGTGAGACTTTTGGTAATTATCATGATTTGTATTTGAAAACTGATGTGTTATTACTAGCAGATGTTTTTGAAAGTTTTCGTGAAGTGAGTTATAATAATTATGGACTAGATCCTTGCTGGTATTATTCTGCCCCTGGGTTGTCATGGGATGCTTTGCTAAAGTTTAGTAAGGTAAGGTTAGAATTACTGACAGACGTGGATATGTTCAATTTTATTGAAAAAGGTATCCGAGGCGGTATTAGCGTGATAACGAAGAAATATGCTGAAGCAAACAACAAATATTTGAAAGAATATAATCCTGACCTTCCTTCGAAGTACATAATTTATCTAGATTGTAATAATCTTTACGGTGGTTCGATGGCAGAACCAATGCCTCTTGGTGGATTTCATTGGATCACGGCTGATCGATTTCTATCGGAGACAGAAAAAAAGATACCCGACGATGTTTCCTATTTCGTTAAAGTTGATCTTGATTATCCAAATTCGCTACACAAATTACATAACGATTACCCTTTCTGTGTGGAATCGATGGTCATAGATTATAGTTTGTTATCAAAAGAACAACAAGCGTTAGCATCACCAAGGCAACATTCCATGGTCAAGAAACTAAAACCAAATTTACTTGATAAGAAAAATTACGTTTTGCATTACAAAGTTTTAAAACAAGCAGTCGATGCTGATCTTGTGTTGAGAAAAGTTCATCGTGTACTAAAATTTAATCAGTCGCCGTGGATGAGATGTTATATTAACTCAAACACTTCAAGAAGAGCTGCAGCGAAAACAGAGTTTGAGAAAAACTTTTTTAAACTGATGAACAATTCCGTTTTTGGTAAGACGATGGAGAATATTAGGAAACGTGTAAATATTGAAATAGTTAATGATGTCAATCGCAGAAACAAACTTGTGTCAGACGATGATTTTGTGAGCATGAAAATATTTAATGAAAATCTTGTTGCAATACAAAGAAGAAAAGTAAATCTAAAACTAAACAAGCCGATCTATGTTGGAGCTGCAGTGTTAGATTTATCAAAGTGGCTAATGTACGATTTTCATTACACTTTTGTTAAAAATCAGTGGCCGGCTAGTAGATTATTGTTTACTGATACTGATTCGCTCGTATATGAAATCGAATGTGAGGACATCTATCAGGACATGTACAATAATCGACATCTGTTTGATCTTTCCGATTATCCACGTGACAGTAAATTTCATGACGACACAAATAAAAAGGTTATTGGTAAGTTTAAAGATGAAATGAAGTCAAGCGCTATCAAATACTTTATCGGATTACGTAGTAAAATGTATGCCGTATTATTGGACAATAATAAAATTATTATTGGACAATAATAAAATAACGAAAAAAGCAAAAGGTCTGCCTCGTGATTTTGTTAAAAAGTTGATGAAATTTGATGACTACAGGTATGCGCTTGATGGCGGTGTTAGTTTTATGAGAGCTATGGCAATTTGAACTAATGATCATAAACTCGAAACAGATGTCATTATCAAACTTGGATTGTATAATTTTGATGACAAACGCTATTGTAAAAATGGGGTAGATACATTTGCCCTTGGGTATTGTCATGATGATAGATCTATACTCGACATTATCTTTTCCAACTGAAATTTTTATCTAAACTTATAAAATAATGTTTGAAAATTTGACAATGACAAATAGCTACAATAGTAACATCAAATATCTAATGATGGACGTTAAACAATTGACAGTTGAATTTAATAATGAAACATCAGGTGTATGTTTTAATGGAACACGTGACAAGTTAAAACTTTCGCTCATCAGATCTGATAACAGCGTGTATTTCAATTATCTCGAACAATTGTATCAAAAGTTGCTAGCGGAATTTAAAAACTTTCACAGCCCCATTAGCCAACAAAACTATACTAAACTCACAATTGATCTCGATCGGTCAAAGGTATATTTTATCAACAAAAAATATCCCCTGAACAAACCAGAAATGAAAGATTTGTTTGAGTCCCATCGCTGTGTGAGCGGTAAAGTAAAATTTAGTATCTATAGTCGTGATAGTGAAGTATTTTTAATATCAACGGTTGAAACATTAATCATTGGTAATGAGATATAAAATAATATCATTTTCATTCTAATGCTAGTTTAATTTCCGCCTTGTTAACTGAAACGTTCGAATGTACAGTTTAATTTTCATCCTGTTATCTGATAAAAAATTTGTGGTCAAACCCATTTGCTGTCTTTAGAATAATCGTATTCCACGCATGCGCTATTCTAACAAATTGGTCACTTTTGTTGACAGAGCTTATCGCATTCCAACACCTGTTGTTTTGTCTGGTTACAAAATATCTGTCTACGTAGTAGTAGTATTAGGAAACAAGAGGTTTGGGGTGGGTGAGCATTCCAACACCAGTTGTTTTTGTCTGGTTACAAAATATCTGTCTACGTAGTAGTAGTATAGGGAAATGAGGGTTTGGCGGGGGTGTGGGAGGAGGTGTGGGAGGGGGTGGGTGGGCCAAAACCCTCATTTTCCTATACTACTGCATCATATATATATATATATATATATATATATATATATATATATATATATATATATATATATATATATATATATATATATATATATATACACACACACACATATTCATCGACCAAATGGTCGTAAGCGGTTCACCGAAAGCAAATACAATAGGCAAAATCAATTCTTTAAAGCTATCTTTCCAAACACCAAGCCGGTTAGCAACCTCAGCAATGAATGTTTTTGGAGGGACAAGAAATAATTTAAAGGACACAACTTTTCTGTTTTCATTTCATTGTCATAAAACGTGTATCACCTTCAGATTTTCAGTAAATAGTTTCCAAACTTTAGCTGCGTACGTTACTATTAGCGACGCACAGCAAAGATTACATTTGTTCGGTCATTTTTGCCTTTTAAGGCAGAAGAAGGCAAATAAAGAAAGACTCTTCTATTTTAGAAAGTATGTCCGGTCAGATGTTGTGGAAGCCAATATTAATGTCCCTTGTTGCATTCTTGTGCTGTCGACAGCTCGTATTATCGATTCTGTCTTTCTGCTGCGGTGCGTAGCTTGAATTGATAACACTTCATTGCCAGTTTAATGTCAATAAATATATGTAACAATACTCAATTTTTAACATTGAAATACAAAACCTTAATCGAGTTGGGATTATAGAGGACGTAGACATCGATATTCAAGTTCGAGACTGCCACGTGCCTTTTCCTCCTGTTATGGCGGACAATACGATTAAAATGTGGGAGCCGTTTTCCAGAAAATTGCACAGGAGCTCAATGATACTTTAGAACGAAGAGAATCTGAATAAAAATGTGATATGTTTGTTTTTCATTACTTACTTTATAACGCAAGAATTTCAAGTTCGATGAGCTGTTAAAAAGACTAAATGATACTTAAAATTGACTTGAAGATGTAGTCGTTGAAAACTTATTTTAAATCGTGTGGGAACAATACTTCTTCCCTTTTGAACGTGGCGAAAAAGGGAAGCAAAATGCCTTACTTGTATGTATAACAAAATGTTTACGTATTTTCAACTATCACTCCATCTTTGATGATTTATCTGTTCCTAATCTGAATGTTCTAGAGATAATAAACTATATTTGGACCGTATCAGATCGGATTTTATCCGTTTGCTAACAATACTGGGAGAAGACAGATCGTTTTGCCTGTTTGTTTTTTCCTTCCTTCCTGATTAATGCATTCATTTTGCCTCAGCATAACAGACATTATTCCTATACACATGAAAATTGGTGTGTGTGTGTGTGTGTGTTAGAATTTTCAATGTAGCTTTAACCATTTGAGTCATATTGCTAGTGTCTGCAATGTTGCAGTTTATAGTGATGTCTAGCCCTGGGGTATCATGCATGTCCAACCCAGTCACATTATCCTGAATCCAGGCCTACCAGTCCTAACACTAGCCTCTTAATGCTGAGCGCAAAGCAAGGCAGCTTCAGATGCCATTTTAGCATGACTACGCCGAAGTTCGAACCCGCGACCACCCGCATTCGAGGCGGACGCTCTAACCGCTCAGGCCACCGATATCTTGGACACAATATTACACTAACCTGATATGTGGATCCATATCAACAAGGAAAACTCAACCATAACAAAATATAATTTGCAAACCTGACAAAAATAATGTATTTCCAGCTATTTTTTGCATCCTCAACATTTTAGACTCAATATCACCAACATTTATGAATGCTGCCGTGTATATGCATGTCAGCAAGAGTAACTCATCCGTATCGAAAGTAGGCTTGTGTGACCTGATTTTGACTTTTTATTGGCTTATAGAAAATTCGGATATTCGTTCATTATGCACTCAGTAACCTGTACTCTTGTTTCCCAACGCTCATGAAAACGGATATTCAAATATTCATCAATGAGAGTAACTCAGTTATAACAAAACCAAGTTACTGTGACCTAATTTCACGTATGAAATATGTTTGGCTTTTTAACCATTTATTTGTTGCATCCTCTGTAGCTTTTGTTAATGCGTCGTATTGAGTGCAGGTTTAGGAAAACCACTCATCCTTTCGTACTGCTACAAACTCGTACTTGAGCCGAGCAGATACAGATTCGTACTTTCAGAAGAAATTTGAGTGCATTTTTGCTCTGAGCAAGCGCCAAGTTCAACATAGCTTAATATAAATATAAAGGGGCCCCTAGTGGCCTCGTGGTCTAAAGCGTTCTCCGTTACGGATCACTGCCATCTCACCTCTGTCTGCGTGGGTTCGAGTCTAGGATTTGGCGAATGTGAATATGTGAGAAATATTGCCAGTAGCTTTTCGTGGGTCGGTGGTTCTTTCCGGAGATATCCCGGTTTCTTCCTCCACCATTAATAATGATTGCCATGTATAGCCTATCGTGTGCTGCAAATGGCGTTAAGCCCCACAACATAAATAAAATATGCTTATTATATCTATTTGTTGTAAGTCTATAACATTTTCAGATGGAAACGACTTCTTTTTTGTTAACACAGGTACCGGATGTGAGCTTGATACTACAATGAGTAAATATTATGAACACATTGTGCTGATATTTCATACTTTGCTCTCGATTTCATAATGGTGTTTGCATTTACACTGCCACTGTCTCGAATAACAAACATAATCTCTTAACGTAGGTACTCGTCTATAAGTCGAGTTCAGCTACAATGTAGCTTAATGAACATGCAAATTAGGGTCTATATTATTTGTTGTACTGATTACAACAAGCTACGTAGAAGCAAACATGGAAACTGCATACAGCCAGATATGCCTGAGCAGTATATGACTACAGATCTGAGATTGTGAGTTTGCTGTTGGACTCATCTCATACTCGAGTATAGGCGGTATTATGTGTCTATCTATCCATCTATCTATCTGTCTGTCTGTCTATCTGTCTGTCAGTCTGTCTATCTATCCATCCATCCATCCATCCACCCACCCACCCACCCACCCACCCACCCATCCATCCATCCATCCATCCATCCATCCATCCATCCATCCATCCATCCATCCATCCATCCATCCATCCATCTATCTATCTATCTATCTATCTATCTATCTATCTATCTATCTATCTATCTATCTATCTATCAAGATCAAGTTTGCATCACGTTCCTTAGTTCGTTCCTAAAAGTGTGTGCGGGTTGAGCGTAATAAGGACAAGGTGGGTAACTCTTCCAGCTCATTCATCACAGGCGATGAGTGATGGGAATTTTTTTATTTAACTGAGCCCTATAATAATAATAATATTTATTTCCTCTATATGATGGCTTAGTCGTTAAGTAAGAATAACAATCATATGGTAAAGGGTTCGAATCCTGCTAGGTTTGCATGAATCAGCTGTCATGGTGTCTCTTTTTGCAAGGTTGCAAACACATATTCTATCGTCAATACTCCATACCAGTCTGTGTAGTGTCAGCTACTCCAGATGTATTCCTGTTTCGAGAAGTTTTTACTAAAAACATGTTTTCTAATTACAATATTTAGCTTATATTTCCAACAGTGTGCGTCACTAGGTTTGGTGTCACCCGTTGCGGTAACTCAGTATTTCACCCATTCCTGCACCAAATTAAAAAAATTCTATAAGCAGTCATGTGCGTTAACTCATGGTGTCACCACTCCCCCCATGGATCCCCTTCCTGCACAAAAATTCAAAACCTTTTAAGACAGTCATGTGCGGTAACACATGGTATCACCCCCACGGACCTCCTTCCTGCACAAAAATTCAAACATTTATAGACAGTAAGTTTGGTTTCACCTCCTCTGATGGTATCATCCGGTGCGGCCCGCACCCCCTTCCTCGCATTTTTCTAGTGACGCCACTGATTTCTAGTAATTTAGTGACTTTGGTGTAGATGCAATTGCAAATATCCATGCATGACTCGACAATGTTTCAAATTGTATGAAATATATTACACAACGCACGTTAATAATACTCAAGAATGGGGAAAGGCGCATGGAGACGTAGCTCTGTCGGATGCAGTGATAATAAAGATTTATAAGAAATTTCTCCTTTCGAGTGTGAAATTTCATCAGGTCTTAAAATATTTATTCTTAGAAATGAACAGATGGAGTAGTTAAAGCCTTAGGCCTAATTCAATGCGGTGACTGGAACAGTTTGCTGGATTTGATAAATCCCGGATTCTAGAAATGTAATTAGCCTAGCTATGCAAAATGTATGTATTTCAAACAAATCTTTTATTCCGCGAATTCTTTGAGCTGCGGAATCACCAGTGCAGACCAGTTATTAAAGTGCTACATATCTAGATTCATATATACTTGAAAAACGTGCCAGAAGATTAATATTTTTTCAGAATGGTTAAAGTTCAGATCTTTGAATGGCCATTAATGTTGACTAACACGACACAAGCATTGTAACAAAATTTACTACGCATATGTATATTATCGTAGATAGAATCCATGGTTCACATTATTTATGAAATGTTCATATATGTTTTATTACAGCCTAATTCACCCTACTAATAAATTCTAGGCAGAAGAAGAAGGAACAGGTCGATATTGAGTGATTAAATAAAGGCCTTGACCTTCAAAATTATTTTCGGAAAGGGAACAAGGATGTAGTGGTCATCTATTAAGTTTTACGGGTTTAGGCCAAAACATATTTTGACACAAAATCGGTGGGATGGGGGAGGCAGGGCAAGACTCGTTCCTTTGCCACCATGTAGATAGGTAGCTGTAATGCTTGGGTACTTTCAAGCTATCTTGGAACATTTAAAAGACGTGATTAGAAAAGTAATGTTGGTAGGTAAATGCGAGGCATACTAACATGTTGAAAATAAATGACATCGGCATCTGGCAGGATATCGCAACCGCTGAAATTATTCCAACTTCTGGAAAAGCTCTGGTCTCTGTTTACATTATTCGATGATAAGAAATGATAATAACTGGAACTATAATTAAATGCATTATAATTAATATTTTATTTATTCTTTTCTTCCTTGCTCTTCAATCATAACCGCTTATTTTCATTCCGAACCACTGATATGTACTCATTAAATTTCCGATCTCAGGAGAATAAGAAGAAATTTGATTTAACTGAATGCCGATGTTAAAGATAAAACAGAATATAACGTTAATTTGCAGCGGTAAACGTTACAGTTTGTTGGGTTACAATATTGACTGTCAGTCCAACTTATAAATGAAGTCATTATTGAGCTACATAGACAAAAAAAAATCAACATTGAAAATATTAAATGGTCTTGAAATTTCCCAGTCGTAACAAATTGATGTCTTTATACGAAATACAAATAATATCGGAAATGCTTCGATGGACTGCTACCGAGTAAAATGGGAGAATAATCGCTATATAATTGAGATAACTCAATAACATACAAATAAGCAAAGCAAAACAACATCGTAGTACAATTTTCATGATATAATTTAGAAAAAGAATGTCATTTAATAAACTGGAACTTGAAAGCAGACAATTGCCCAAGATGATGGCTGTAACGGCAATTTAAGCACAATGCTACTATTTCCTGCCGAGCAAAATACGAACTCATCAGTCTGTCTCTAAATTCTGCCTTTCGTTCGTTCGCTCGCGAGATGGACATTTTGAAATAATTTTTTTTTTAATCGCTAAAAATAAGAAAATGCCGAGAAAAAAAGTTAGCTGCAGGATGGTCTGCATGGTCAAATGACGGAACATGGGTACTTACCTTGGTTGAATTTAAAAATAAATCGAGTTCTTCAGGCGAAATACACAAATTTTGTTGCTTTTTTTTCGAGGATAATCAGAGGCAGCCAACCCGGGCTGGACTTGGGGTTATCTTAAGTTGTAATTACTTCTGTATTCAGGTGGTTTCAATTAAAGTATAGATGATAGCAATCGGAACAACCTCGTCTCTTACCGGTGTAAGTATAATAACTTCGACTGTGACATAGACTCGTAGGTAAACTTAATGGCATTTAGCCAGATAGGCAAGATTTTGGGTAGACAACAAAAAATATATCTTTATATCAATAGAGGTGTTGAAGATAACATTCAGAATTTTAACTATCAGTGAAATACATTCAAATTTTAATTTTGAATATTTTTCTGGGTTTTTTTAAAGAAAAATTGAATAAAGTATTTGTTACAACATTATTAACCTATTGTTTCCATAACAAATTGCAAGTCATCGAGTAGGTATGACATCAGTGAATATGACCTAATACCAATTACCAGTTTGATGGCAATTCAAAATGGCGAATATTTATATTCGAGACATTGTCCTAGCATGTGGCAGAAAATGTTGGCTGAAACTGGCATGAACTCGCAAGACAATATCCTAAGCCGGTAACTAGTAAATCTTTTTCTCCCGATTGGTAAGTCAGAGAAGTTATTCGTACAAATGTGACGTTATTTTTGTAACGACCAGTTTGGAAGTTCGCCCGCTAAATGGCACTGGTTGGTACGTAACTTCACATAGGCGAAGTGCATAATGGGTAACAAGAACATCAGTTTGTATTTTGTTCACGTAAGGCTCCGGTGGCCTAGTGGTTGGAGCGCCCGCCTCAGATGCGGGAGATCGCAGGTTCGAACCCTGGCCGAGCCATACAAAAAACTTATAAAAAATGGTACAGACAGCTGACTCGCTTGGAGCTCTGTATTAAGAGATTAGTGCTAGGATTGGTCGGCCCTGTATAAGAATAATGTGACTGGGTGGGATATGATACCCCAGTGCTAGACATCAATATAAACTGTTACACTGCAGACATAGCGATATGACTGAAAAATTGGTATAGCTGCATTACAAATCTAAGTAACACAACACAAACACAAACATACTTTGTTCACGCACGGATGTCGATAGTTATCTTCAGTCGTACTACCACCAGACATATGACGTAGTTGTCAGTGAATGACAAAAGCCTTGGACATTCTGATTGCCTCAACGCATGACTTTACATGACGTCATTTAGTAAACATTGCGCATGTACTAATTTCCAGAAAGACCTGTGCGTGCAGCAGATTCATAATGTCATGTACAAGTTCCGTACCGACTTTTTCAGTAATGGGTGATTTTTTTTTTTAGAATATGATTATACATGACACTTTATTTGGATCATCATACTTGCGTTTTCCTTTGGAGTATCATTAATCACACTCCCTGAAAGATATACAGTGCAAAATAATAAATGTTAAAGTGTCTGGACATTTTTAAACTCTTTTGATCTAAAGGTGTAGTCTAGCACAAACCGCATTGAATGTCGCATGTTAATGTCACAATGAAAGCAGCGCGCGTTGATAAAATATCCTACAAAAGGTTTATTTTTTATGGTAGATCCAATGTCTTCTTTTATTGACCCAGTTTAGTACAAAACTAATATTGTAAAATTCCATAGCGATCAGTAATTTTCGTCTGAATCTTTTTTGATGACATTTGATGTATAGAGTACGCAACATCAGGATTGAATAGACCTTGGATAAACAACACGAGCAATACATTTTAGAACAACAATTAATACAATTTTATTAAATTCTCCTACATGACCACGCTCATACACACATTAGAAGTTCCCCAGTACACAACCCATATGCTATTTGAAAAACTTCTGACGCATAAATGCTGAAATAAGTAATTGGCACAATTCTAAAAGCCTTTTCATTGGCATATTCGTTGGTATTTATTTTAATGCAAAGCCACCAGGAAAAAAAAGGTATATAAATTACTCTGGTCATATTCGTTGGTATTTATTTTAATGCAAAGCCATCAGGACAAAAAAGCTATATAAATTACTCTGGTCATATTCGTTGGTATTTATTTTAATGCAAAGCCATCAGGAAAAAAGCTATATAAATTACTCTGGTCATATTCGTTGGTATTTATTTTAATGCAAAGCCATCAGGAAAAAAGCTATATAAATTACTCTGGTCATATTCCTTGGTATTTATTTTAACTCAAAGCCATCAGGAAAAAGCTATATAAATTACTCTGGTCATATTCGTTGGTATTTATTTTAATGCGAAGCCATCAAGACAAAAAAGCTATATAAATTACTCTGGTCATATTCGTTGGTATCTATTTTAATGCAAAGCCATCAGGAAAAAAGCTATATAAATTACTCTGGTCATATTCGTTGGTATTTATTTTAATGCAAAGCCATCAGGACAAAAAAGCTATATAAATTACTCTGGTCATATTCGTTGGTATTTATTTTAATGCAAAGGGATCATGACAAAAAAGCTATATAAATTACTCTGGTCATATTCGTTGGTATTTATTTTAATGCAAAGCCATCAGGAAAAAAGCTATATAAATTACTCTGGTCATATTCGTTGGTATTTATTTCAATGCAAAGCCATCAGGACATAAATGCTATATAAATTACTCTGGTCATATTCGTTGGTATTTATTTTAATGCAAAGCCATCAATACGAAAAAGCTATATAAATTACTCTGGTCATATTCGTTGGTATTTATTTTAATGCAAAGCCATCAGGACAAAAATGCTATATAAATTACTCTGGTCATATTCGTTGGTATTTATTTTAATGCAAAGCCATCAGGAAAAATAGCTATATACATTACTCTGGTCATATTCGTTGGTATTTATTTTAATGCAAAGCCATCAGGATAAAAAGCTATATAAATTACTCTGGTCATATTCGTTGGTATTTATTTTAATGCAAAGCCATCAGGACAAAAATGCTATATAAATTACTCTGGTCATATTCGTTGGTATTTATTTTAATGCAAAGCCATCAGGAAAAAGAGCTATATACATTACTCTGGTCATATTCGTTGGTATTTATTTTAATGCAAAGCCATCAGGATAAAAAGCTATATAAATTACTCTGGTCATATTCGTTGGTATTTAATTAAATGCAAAGCCATCAGGACAAAAAAGCTATATAAATTACTCTGGTCATATTCGTTGATATTTATTTTAATGCAGAGCCATCAGGGAAAAAAAGCTATATAAATTACTCTGGTCATATTCTTTGGTATGTGTTTTAATGCCAAGCCATCAGGACAAAAAAGCTATATAAATTACTCTGGTGATATTCGTTGGTATTTATTTTAATGCAAAGCCATCAAGAAAAAAGCTATATAAATTACTCTGGTCATATTCGTTGCTATTTATTTCAATGCAAAGCCATCAGGGAAAAAGCTATATGAATTACTCTAGTCATATTCGTTGGTATTTATTTTAATCAAAGCCATCAGGACATAAATGCTATATAAATTCCTCTGGTCATATTCGTTGGTATTTATTTTAATGCAAAGCCTTCAAGACAAAAAAGCTATATAAATTACTCTGGTCATATTGGTTGGTATTTATTTTAATGCAAAGCCATCAGGAAAAAAAGCTATATAAATTACTCTGGTCATATTCGTTGGTATTTATTTTAATGCAAAGCCATCAAGACAAAAAAGCTATATAAATTACTCTGGTCATATTCGTTGGTATCTATTTTAATGCAAAGCCATCAGGAAAAAAAGCTATATAAATTACTCTGGTCATATTCGTTGGTATTTATTTTAATGCAAAGCCATCAGGACAAAAAAGCTATATAAATTACTCTGGTCATATTCGTTGGTATTTATTTTAATGCAAAGCCATCATGACAAAAAAGCTATATAAATTACTCTGGTCATATTCGTTGGTATTTATTTTAATGCAAAGCCATCAGGAAAAAAGCTATATAAATTACTCTGGTCATATTCGTTGGTATTTATTTCAATGCAAAGCCATCAGGAAAAAAAGCTATATAAATTACTCTGGTCATATTCGTTGGTATTTATTTTAATCAAAGCCATCAGGACATAAATGCTATATAAATTTCTCTGGTCATATTCGTTGGTATTTATTTTAATGCAAAGCCATCAAGACAAAAAAGCTATATAAATTACTCTGGTCATATTCGTTGGTATTTAATTAAATGCCAAGCCATCTGGACAAAAAAGCTATATAAATTACTCTGGTCATATTCGTTGGTATTTATTTTAATGCAGAGCCATCAGGAAAAAATCTATATAAATTACTCTGGTCATATTCTGTGGTATGTGTTTTAATGCCAAGCCATCAGGACAAAAAAGCTATATAAATTACTCTGGTGATAATCGTTGGTATTTATTTTAATGCAAAGCCATCAGGAAGAAAGCTATATAAATTACTCTGGTCATATTCGTTGGTATTTATTTCAATGCAAAGCCATCAGGAAATAAAGCTATATAAATTACTCTAGTCATATTCGTTGGTATTTATTTTAATCAAAGCCATCAGGACATAAATGCTATATAAATTCCTCTGGTCATATTCGTTGGTATTTATTTTAATGCAAAGCCATCAAGACAAAAAAGCTATATAAATTACTCTGGTCATATTGGTTGGTATTTATTTTAATGCAAAGCCATCAGGACAAAAAAGCTATATAAATTACTCTGGTCATATTCGTTGGTATTTATTTTAATGCAAAGCCATCAGGACAAAAAAGCTATATAAATTACTCTGGTCATATTCGTTGGTATTTATTTTAATGCAAAGCCATCAGGAAAAAAGCTATATAAATTACTCTGGTCATATTCGTTGGTATTTATTTTAATGCAAAGCCATCCGGACATAAATGCTATATAAATTACTCTGGTCATATTCGTTGGTATTTATTTTAATGCAAAGCCATCAGGAAAAAAATGCTATATAAATTACTCTGGTCATATTCGTTGGTATTTATTTTAATGCAAAGCCATCAGGAAAAAAGCTATATAAATTACTCTGGTCATATTCGTTGGTATTTATTTCAATGCAAAGCCATCAGGAAAAAAAGCTATATAAATTACTCTGGTCATATTCGTTGGTATTTATTTTAATGCAAAGCCATCAGGACAAAAATGCTATATAAATTACTCTGGTCATATTCGTTGGTATTTATTTTAATGCAAAGCCATCAGGACAAAAATGCTATATAAATTACTCTGGTCATACTCGTTGGTATTTATTTTAATGCAAAGCCATCAGGAAAAAGAGTTATATACATTACTCTGGTCATATTCGTTTGTATTTATTTTAATGCAAAGCCATCAGGATAAAAAGCTATATAAATTACTCTGGTCATATTCGTTGGTATTTATTTTAATGCAAAGCCATCAGGACAAAAATGCTATATAAATTACTCTGGTCATATTCGTTGGTATTTATTTTAATGCAAAGCCATCAGGAAAAAGAGCTATATACATTACTCTGGTCATATTCGTTGGTATTTATTTTAATGCAAAGCCATCAGGATAAAAAGCTATATAAATTACTCTGGTCATATTCGTTGGTATTTAATTAAATGCAAAGCCATCAGGACAAAAAAGCTATATAAATTACTCTGGTCATACTCGTTGGTATTTATTTTAATGCAAAGCCATCAGGAAAAAGAGCTATATACATTACTCTGGTCATATTCGTTGGTATTTATTTTAATGCAAAGCCATCAGGATAAAAAGCTATATAAATTACTCTGGTCATATTCTTTGGTATTTATTTTAATGCAGAGCCATCAGGAAAAAAAGCTATATAAATTACTCTGGTCATATTCTTTGGTATGTATTTTAATGCCAAGCCA